CAGTCTCTTCATCTATAAAATGAAGGTAACAATGCCACCTATCTCATGGGTGTCACGTGGGAATTTAGTGAAATAATACATCTAACTTGGCACCTGGTAGCCACTCAATAACTATTTTCTCTTTTTATGTAATGTTTATACCTAAAAAATGTTGAAAACTAGCAAATATTTTCCTGTTGCTAATAGTAAACTAATAGTGTGACGATTAGGAAAGACAGTTAAAGGCCAAAGAACCTTCAGGAAGAATTCATCTTGGGGACTGATGTCAAAAATATCTAGCATATCCAAATGCCAATAAATCTCCTCCCTCGCTTAAAGTAAAAGCATGCCATGACTTAGCTACAGTATTTACAAGAAACTTACTGCTTGATCTAATCATCAGGGTTTAAAAGAAGAGTCTCTGAAATAAGCGTTCTTGTTTCCTTGCTTTCTTCTGAAACTACTAATACTCTGATGGCATAATGTGTTTCTCATGTGAGCTTGGAAACGAGCAGGACTTCATGGAAATGATAAAATGGTAAATTACTCTGGAAATCAAATGTACTTCAATCATTCTGGCTCCTCTCCCCGAGACAAGGTGAACATGTTTATGACTACAAAAATGTGTTTTCCATAGATCTCATATAGATAGGCAACCTCAAGTGTCTGTACCCAAATGTTTTCTGTCATAATACCCAGTATATTGATGTATTAAGCAGCAAAGCTTTCTTATTAAAAACACAACTATACTTACCTGGAGACAGATTTCCAGACTCTTCTTGGATCATTCTAGATAGTTACAGAAATAACCTCACCGAGCTCAGCAGCCCCTACCCACCCCCTAGGGTTTGGATCTTGTAAAGATTCAGGGTAATTAATAAATGTGGTCTGGCTAAAGACCCATTCCTAGAGCTTAACACTGTTAAATAACAAAAACTCAACAAAGTAAATTTGAAAGATCTAATTGGCTTTATTATTTGACTCATGAATCCAGCAGCATCCGCACCTAATAAGTAGAGAAGAGTTCAAAAGGACCACAGAGGGATGCCTGGGTGGCTCAGTCGTTAAGCGTCTGCCTTTGGCTCAGGTCATGATCCCAGGGTCCTGGGATCGAGCCCCGCATCGGGCTCCCTGCTCTGCTGGAAGCCTGCTTCTTCCTCTCCCACGCCCCCTGCTTCTGTTCCCTCTCTTGCTGTCTCTCTCTGTCAAATAAATAAAATCTTAAAAAAAGAGCCACAGAAAAGAAAAGGCTTTTTTATTTTTTTAAAAGATTTTATTTATTTGACAGAGAGAGACAAAGCGAGAGAGGGTACACAAGCAGGGGAAGTGGGGGAGGGAGAAGCAGGCTTCCCGTAGAGCAGTCAGCCCGATGCGGGACTCGATCCCAGGACCCTGGGATCATGACCTGAGCCGAAGGCAGACGCTTAATGACTGAACCACCCAGGCGCCCCAAAATTTTTATTGTTATGTTAGTCACCATACATTACATCATTAGTTTTTGATGTAGTGTTCCATGATTCATTGTTTGTGCATAACACCCAGTGCTCCATGAAGAACGTGTGTTCCCCAATACCCATCACCAGGCTAACCCATCCTCCCACCCCCTCCCCTCTAGAACCCTCAGTTTTTCAGAGTCCATCGTCTCTCATGGTTCGTCTCCCCCTCCGATTTCCCCCCCTTCATTCTTCCCCTCCTATCTTTTTTTTTTTCTTTCTTAACATATATTGCATTATTTGTTTCAGAGAGTGAGGGGCGCCTGGGTGGCTCAGCTGGCTAAGTGTCTGACTCTGGATTTCAGCTCAGGTCATGATCTCAGGGTCGTGAGATCGAGCCCCACATAGGTGGCTCCATGCTGGGTGTGGGGCCTGCTGAAGATTCTCTCTTTCTCTCTCCCTCTCCTTCTGCCCCTCCTCCACCTTACCTCTCTAAAAAAAAATTAATAATAGAGATAGGGAGTGGAAAAAAGGAAATTATTAGCAAGGAATCCATTGTTTTAAGCAAGGTCACCCTCCTAAGGGGAACGGAAAGGGTCTATCAGTAAAATTCCTAGTGCTGAGCAGGAAATTCCATGTTGACTGGTTAAAGGTTAAAGGCTGAAACTGCAGTTACGTATTAAGTCTTGGCTTACTGACTTGGGTTAAGTGACACCATGCTGGGCCCGTGGTTTTCCTTTTAACAACACGAATGAGAAAAAAAAACCCTCCATGACACTGAAACCATTTTGCTGTAGTTATAGAAAATATGAAACCACATTACCATCTCTTAAGAGGACAGTTATTGAAAACCGATTATTAGGCTCAAATCTCACCTGCTCGTGTGACTAATTTCTAACTGGGGGTCCCCCATCATGTATACCAGGACAGTCTCAAGAATGTGCGTGTGTGTGTGTGTGTGTGTGTGTGCACGCACGTGTACACTTGTATTTCTTTTTCTTTTCCCACAGGTTTCCTGCCACTGGTTGGGGGTCACAATCAGGTTGGTGACGACAGACACTCTCTCCCCGCTGTGGGATGACATCGTGGGCAACAGGCCAGAGCCGCTCCCCGAGCTCTAAGGTGGTGTTGGTGAAGGTCACGCCCTTGACTCTGGTGACACGCTGCTCTGCCGGGAGGTGTTGCAGTCTTGGTAACCGTTCTTCACCAGGACCACCCAAACCACCAGGTATGTCAGGATGGAGATGCGCAGGCAGCCGGCAGAGCCGCCCCCACCCCCACCCCGTCTTTGGCAATGACATACTTTGCCGTCCCGCCGTTGGAACGACGACAGCTGGAGCCCCTTGCAGCCACCTGCCCCGTGGAGCTGCCTCAGCTGTACCTGCAGACCCCGCTCTCCCTCCCGGGCCCCCCACCCCCGCCCTGCAGCCGCCCTGCGGTGCATTTCCCTTAATTACCACAACTACAGTTTATCAAATACTTGCGTCCCTTTAGGTACCGCTGATACTAAACTCGGTGCATGTTCTTATCAGAAAACACAGGCGCACGGAGAACAGCAGAGCAGCTTATGAGAAATGACTGTAAGATAAAATAGCTGTTTTGGATTTTTTTCTCCCCACAACATTTATTCTTTTAACTCCAATTTTTCCGCCACCCACTCCTCACAACGCTTTACCCCAAAATAAGACCAAAGGAGAACATGTGGGTGACATACAAAAAGACAGTATTTATTTCACTCAAGCTTTCCTATAAGAAGTTAAACAAAATGATCCCTAGTTGAAGGCATTACCAAAAATATTAACATTGTTTCGCATATCCCTTCAGTGCCCAGATAGAGGAAAAACTTATCTGAATGAAAGAGTAAGAATGACCAACCTTACACTGGGTTTACTTAGGTGGGTGGAGGGAAAGATAATCCATATAGTTTAGGCATGACACAGCGAATGAACCTACGTGTTTCCTACAGGTGATGGAAATCCCACTGATGTACTCAAGTTCCCGAGAGCTCCCAGCACCGGGCGAATCACTCTTCAGCAATTCTCCAACAGCCATAGGTATTCCTGTAGTTTGCTGCCCCCCTTTCCCTCGACTATCTGACTGCTCAAAGCGGAGAATGGAAACCAAGTGTGATGTCCCCGCTCCCGGGCTGTGACTGTCACCATCTGCAGTTCCTTGGGGAACCATGATCCCAAAGCATCCCCTCCCTCACTGCCATCTAAATAGGATATCAGGAAAAATGGCCCTGGCTGAGGCATGTAGGTGTTTTGCTTTCCAGAATTATAAAAGACTTGACTGGAAGAGAATCTCATTCCAACACAGGAAAACCAAATGCTCTTTCTAGAGAACCGCAGAACAAGGTGGGACATCTACTCTGCCTGTCTCTCACCTCAATCTGACCTAAAAAAAAAAAAAAAAAAAAGGCACAGGGAGGAAACACGTTGACATCTACCCCTGGCCCGCAATTTCCTCCGACAAGCCAGGGCGCACTCCTCCTCCGCGGCCGTGCCAGCCGGTGGCCACCTGGGCCCAAACCTCTGACCTCCTCCTGTCGTCCCCTAAAAGCAGGAGCTGCAAGTCGCAACATCTGATTGCTGCCCACGGTGTGTGGGCAGTGTGAGTGTCTGGAGAACCTGCGGTATCACAATTTCAAGTTCTTATCAGGAATCGGAGTCCGTGCGTGGGGGGAGAGAGACTCTGGGGGGGGGAGGGGGCTTCTCGCTTCCATGCTTCTTTAAATTTGGAGGAAGGAGGAGGAGTGGAGAGAGCATCTCTGTGGGTCTGATGCAGGGCTGGGTGAGAATGGAACCCTAACTGAGTATGCAAAAAAAAAAAAAAGAATACAAATGTTGGAGCCTCAGATGTTGTCCATACAGGAAGCAAAACCTACTCATAACCAGTCGTGGCTGGAAGGGAAAAGGGGAAGACGGAACTATTCCTTTCTGAAGCCAAGAGCAAAGCTCGAAGTGAAGATAATACCTCGTTTCTGCTTAGAAAATGCATAGAGAAATAGTACACGCTGAAAACCTTCCAAGAAATGCTGACTCAACGCAGAAGTTACAAAATATGCAAGAATCAGTCATTGTTTCTTAGTCTCCTCACACTTTACCTGAGATGCAAATTACTCCCTGCCCCTCTAGGTGTTCTGCGCAGCTTTACATTCTAATTTCTAGCCAGAGGGGAAAGACCCTCTGGCTACCGGGAATGAAGGTGCACGAGCGGCCGGCCAAGGTCTGGCACCTGACCGGTGGAGATAAAGTGGTAAGGACAGAGGGGTCTTGGCCCAATTGTCGTCCGTCAGAGTGAGTGGCGCCTCCGGGCTGGGGGCCGAGCGCAGGGGCACGGGGGGGGGGGGGGCGGGAGGCGAGCATCTGCTCTGAGCAGTGGAAGGGAAGAAGGCATGGGCTGCACACCCTCACACCCAGCAAGTCCTGCCACCCGCCACAGGGGCCCCCAAAAGCCTGCCGTGGCTTTGAAAGGTGTCAGGAAAGGAGCGGCCTCTGCTTTTTCTGGAGGTGCCCTCCTCGGGGCCAGCGCTGATGTCCGAGCCTTTCCAAGCGGAGACACCTGCTGCTCACGGCGCTGAGGATTCCAGGCTGCTAAGAGGTTTCAGAGCCACACACATTCCTCCACAAGATCCCAAGCAACAGATAACAGATTTTATCAATTTCGTTTGCTAGACGTTCTCTGTGACTCAGGGGCTGGCATGAGCAACTGCACCCAAAATGAGTTTCACACAACAAAATCGAATGTGTTGGTTTTGTTGGACACAGAGAATACAAAGCAGGCACAGATCCCTCAGCTGTCACAACTCTTGGTAAGATTAACTCTACTGCCATCATCGCTGTTTGCTTTGTCCCTGACTTTGAAGGCGTCGCGAGGGCGGTCTGCTTTTACAATTCGACGACAAGGACTCCACTCTCTTCACCAAAGAGCCCCTTACGTTTAGTTTCTCAGTGCTCGACTCAACAGAAAGACCGCGGCTCTTCTGAGCTGCCTGTTTTTAAATGGCCCAGTAGTTTCAGTTTCCGTTTCACGAGTTCCCAGATAACAAATGCAGAATGGGATGAATCTTCACAAGGTCACGCTGAAGGTTAAAATAAATATCCCCGTCACTGAGAGGTTCTCTTCAGGTTTTCTATCAGCACCACAGAGTCGGTCTCTTCTTTGGTTTGCTTCTCATATATGTCGTACTTCTTCCAGTGCTGGAAGGAAAACACACACACACACACACACACACACACACACACACACACACAATGACTCTTCTAAATAATGTTCTCTCCCTGAGGACCAGCGGCCAGGGCTTATTTTTAGGTTTATGTGTTGGAACCAGGAGTGTATGTTATCCTGTTACGGTTTTGGTTTGGGGTTGTTTTTTTGTTTGTTTGTTTTGTTTTGTTTTTTACTAAGAATCTTCATCTGTTTGAACAATTCATGAAACAAAACCATCGGGAATTAACATTCAAGGGGGAGGGGAGAGCGTGGGATTGTTACATGATGTCTGATAGCTATGAGGAGAGAAATGTGGACATCTCCAAAACTGGAAACACAGTCTTTTGAAGAAGAAGAATAAAAGGGTGGCGTGCTTTTCTTCCATTAACTGTTACTACCTTCATTTTCTTGCCACTCAAATTTGCCCATTGCTCCAGAGATAATAGGCTCAAAAAGTCAACCAGCATCGAGGTCAATGGCAATATATAAAATGTCCCCAAAAGTCTTAGTGCAGTTAAAACTTTTGAAAGACCCTAGATTAACAGTTTCATGCTAGACATGAATTTGCTAGAACCGGGAATCATGCACTCAAAGGTAAGCTCCTCCTGAACTCAATGTTAAGTGTGTCTCTTAACGGCAAAAGCCAGTATCCTGGCCTTTGCCTTCTTTACTTACAAAACAAGGGAAAGGGTAGAACCTGAGCTCAGTCGCCTCATCTGTAAAATAAAGTTGCTGGACCAAACTGTGGTGGAAGGGCTGGATCCAACAGGCTGCCTGTTTGTAAATAAAGTTTTATCGGCACCCGGGCACGCCTCCTCGCTTCTGTGCCCTCTGTGGCTGCGTTCAGGTTACCACAGCAGAGGTGAGTTGCCATGACTAAGACCGAATGGCCGGGTGAGTCAAGAATGTTTCCTCTCTGGCTCTTTACAGGAAAAGTTTGCCACCCCTGCGCTAGATTATTTCTAAGCTCCTCTGCGCTGACGTTTTCTGGTTTGAGAAGCCTAGTAGGAAAGGAAAGGGAAAGCAGAAAAACAAAAGCAAGAGCAAAAGTGACTCTTCCACTGCCTCGGGCTGTCCAATGAGAGATGGACTAAGCAGGTTGGGAGCACCCGGTCTTAGAAAGCACAGGCAGGGACGAGTTGAGAGAAACTGCTGAAAATATCCAAATTATTCTAAATAAGTGATTGAACCCTCATATTCCTAGTAGAATGGCTAAAATAAAAAAATACTGACATTCCCAAGTGCCGACAAAGATGCAGAGTAACCGGGTCTCTTCTATAGTGTTGGTGGAAATGTAAAATAGCACAGCCTCCATGGAAAACAGTTGGATGGTTCCTTATAAGATGAAACATACATCTACTTCATGACCCAGGAGTTCCCACTCCTAGGTATTTACCCAAGAGAAATGGAAGCCTATGTCTACACAAAGACCCATACGTGAATGTTTATAGCTTTCTTCAAAAAAGCCCCAAACTGGAAACAAGCCCACTGTCCTTGAACAAGTGAACAGTAAAATAAACTGTGGTATAGCCATATCACGGAATGTTGTTCGACAACGAAAAGGAATGAACCACTGATACACACAACAACGCAGATGTCTCTTAAATGCACTGTGCTAAGTGAAATAAGCCAGACCCCAAAAGCTATGTGTTTGAGGATTCCATTCGTAAGACATTCTAGAAAAGGCAAAAATTTAGGGATACAAAACAGATCAGTGGTGGCAAGAGTACAAGGTCGGGGTGAGGGGACTGACTACAAAGGGGTACGAGGGACCCTTTTGGAGGACGATGAAAATGTTCTAGATCTTGACCGGCATGAGCGGTGGCGACAAAACTGCACACATCTGCTACAACCACAACCGTACAGAATAACTGCGTGCTTAAAAAGAAGAAATTGTATTTTACATAAATCAAATCAACAAACCTGGCTTTTGAAAATGTGAAATGCACAGGATCTAATAAGAAACAGTCTGAAAAAAATTACATAACCTTGAAATAATGGCTTATTCAATAAATGGCACTAAGACAACTGGCTAAGCATTTGAAAAATAAAGTTAAACCCTACTTGACAGCCAACATGGATAAATTCCCTACGGATGAAAGACCTAAATGTAAAAAACAAAATCAAATAAGAACTAGAAAAATATAGTGGGCAACAAGCACATCAATCTGAGATGGAAAAAGGCTTCCTGCACACAAAAAATACAGGAAGATTTGAATGCATAAAAAAAGAAAAACACCATTAAATACCCTAAATACCACACAGAGGCAAATGGACAACAAGCCAAAGGATTAATAGCTGATAGATAAAAAGAGCTTTACAGGGGCACCTACCTGCGTGGCTCAGTTGGTGAAGCATCTGGTCATGATCCCAGGGTCCTGGGATCGAGCCCCCCGGGTTGGGCTCCCTGCTCACTGCTCATCGGGGAACCTGCTTCTCCTTCATCTGCCCCTCCCCCCTCCCCCCTGCTCATACTCTCTCTCTCTCTTGCTCTCTTTCTCTCCCCCAAATAAATAAAATCTTTTTTTTTTTTTTAAAAAGAGCTTTACAAACTACCAAGTTTCCAAAACATGAAAATGGCAAGGAAAAAGAAATGGACAATGCACAAGAATTTCACAAAAGAATTCAAGCCCATAAACATACAAAACAATACAAAAGTTGATATATAAAATGAAAACAAGATGCCCTTTTCTTGTCTGTCAATTGGCAAGAATTAAAAAAAAAAAAGACACGCTGACAAAAGCACGGCAAAACCACTGTTCAGACATACTATGGCTGGGTGCGTAAGCTGGTACAACCTACTTGTAATCTATGCTTCTTGTGAAAAAGCTAAAAGTATGTATTCTAATTGCCCCCCTTTCCTTAATCTCAAGGAATCATACTCTAGGTGTGTAACCAGGGTGTTTAATTTAACAGCATATATTACAGACTTTTATATATCAGTAAAATTAAGCTACCTCATTTTCTTTACCCTCTGCACAATATTTCATTGCATGAAGGCACCATAATTTATTGAATCAGTATCCTTAATAGATATTTAGCCTGTATATCCTTTCTGGATGACAATTTGTCAATATTAATCAAAGAGTTTAAAAAACGTAATCTCCTCTGATCCAGCAATCTTACCTGTAACAATACATCCCTCCCCCAAATAATAAAATATATATGCTAATTATAGCTATGAAATGATGCCTATAATGATGAAATTTAGAATTGATCTAAATGCCCAATAATAGGGACTTGGTTAAGTACATCATGATATATTCACACAATGGAATACTATTTAGCCATTAAAAAGTGTATTATAGGACCAGGGTTGGCAAACTTCTTTCTGTCAATGGCCAGATAATAGATATTTTCAGCTTTGAGTCTCTGTCCCCAAAACTCACTCTGCTGTTACAGCATGAAAACAGCCACAGAGAACATGTAAATAACCAGGTGTGACTGTCTTCCAACAAAACTTTAATGGATGCTGACATCTGAATTTCAGATAATTTTCATGTGCTAGGACAAAATATTCTTCTTTAGATCTTGTCAACTATTTAAATGTATCAAAACCATTCTTAGCTTGCAGGCTGTAGACAAGCAGGCAGCAGACAAGATTTGGCCCGTGGTCCGTAGTTTACAGAGGAATCCTGGGAGGAAGGTAGTGGTTGGCAGCATAGTTTTGTTCTTGTTTTTAAAGATTTTATTTATTTGACAGAGAGAGAGAGAGAGCAAGCACAAGGCAGGGGAACGGCAGGCAGAGGGAGAGGGAGAAGCAGATTCAGGGAGCCCGAAGCGGGGCTCGATCCCAGGACCCCGGGATCATGACCTGAGCCGAAGGCAGATGCTTCACCGACTGAGCCCCCCAGGCGCCCCGGCAGCATAGTTGTTTTTTTTAAGATTTTAATTATTTATTTGACAGAGAGAGACACAGCGAGAGAGGGAACACAAGCAGGGGGAGTGGGAGCGGGAGAAGCAGGCTTCCCGCTGAGCAGGGAGCCCGATGTGGGACTCGATCCAAGGACCCTGGGACCATGACCTGATCCGATGGCAGGACACCCAATGACTGAGCCACCCAGGCGCCCAGCGGCATAGTTTAAATGTCCCCAAATGCCACCACAGAAAACACAAGTAGGAAAGGTAACTAGGGTAAGGAGGGAAGCAACAGCCAAATCCACAGACACAATCTACGACAGAACCGGATCAAAATGATTCCCCCGTGAACCCTGAAATACGAATGGGTGGGACAAATTCGAGACAGCTACAAGAGCACAATGGAATCAGTTATGGAGAGGTATGGAGAGGGAACCAGCCGGACATCTGATAGATCTGAGAACTCTAAAATACCTCAAACCTCAGCAAGCTAATTTATGAACAACAACTAAGACTGGAGGGGTTTGCCCTTTCAAATAGTGACTGAGTGCAAGGAGTCCATGGTAGAGCCTGGGAGCTGCCCAGGCCCCACGAACTCTCAAAACCATCCAAAGCTCCCTTCCAGGGCCAAGTCCCACCCTGAGGAGCAACTGGGGCACAAAGACGCCACACTGACGCAGACAGAGACGGGGTGGCTCAGTGGGTTAAGCGGCCAACTCTTGACTTCGGCTCAGGTCATGATCTTAGTAGGGTCCTGGGATCCAGCCCCGAGTTGGGCTCCACACTCAGCGGGGAGTCTGCTTGAGATTCTCTCCCTCTCTCTCCCTCTGCCCCTCCTCCCGCTCGTGCGCACACACACACACACACACACACACACACACTCTCTAAAATAAATAAGTATATTTTTTTGAACATCTTAAAAAAAATGAAGGTGGATAAAAATTATTCAGGAGGATGTGACAAATACAGAAGACAAAGAAAACAAGGGGACAGAAAAAGTGAAGTCTATAAGTGAAGACATTTTTACTGAAATTAAAAACAAACATGTGAGACTGCATACTGAAAGGGTACACCACCTACCTCAGAAATCAAGCCTGGATGACCAACACCACCAAGACGTATTCTGGTAAAA